GATTGCTTATCAGTAAACATTTAAAGAATGTCAAAAAACATGCCGGGTATAATACAAAATAAAAGTGTGTTGGTTGCACTTTTTAGGTGTGTTAATAGTATTGTTTTGTTTTGTTTTGTTTTGTTTTAAGAATCCTATCTTCAAGAGTCATAGAGGGTCATCTAATCATGTGCTGGCTACGGCAGCTGGAGCCCACACGGCCAACTGAATGAGTCAAGTGCCGGACATGGGAGCTTGAACATGCCAGGTGTATGTACATGTGTGCCCCAGATCCCAAGAGAATGGAGAAGGGACTACAGTGTAACCTTTCTCCCCCCAGTGAGTGATTTCTTTCTCTTTCTGTCTCTCTCTGGCAAGCGTATGTGCACCATAGCAAACAAACAAAAAAACAACACGTTAAAAAAAGACACAGGGGTAGGATTAGTGTTAAGGTTAAGGTTTAGGCTTAGGGGTTAGGGTTAGGAGGTTAAGGATTACGGTTAGGGCATTAAAAATAAAAAAAAGAAAAAGACACATAGGGGCCAGCAGATAGTGTACTGGTTATGTTGCTGGACTTCCACATGGCTGACCACAGTTCAAGTTCTGGACCTGGTGGCTGGAAACTCACACTAGGTACGTGTGTGGGCATGCCCAAGATCCCAGGAAGAGACTGGAGCAGAAGGAATTACTGCATGGCCATCCCCCCTGGGAGGTGATTTCTCATTTTCCCTCTCACTGTCTCAGTCTCTCTCTCTCTCTCCCTGGTAAATTCATGTGCCCAAGGCAAAAAAAAAAAAAAAAAAAAATCTCTCAAAAAAGGACACATATTGGGGTCAGCAGGTGGTATGATGGTTAAGGTGGCTGACCATAGTTCAAGTCCAGGACATGACAGCTTGGAAAATCATGCCGGGTGCATGTATATGTGTGCCCAATATCCCAAGAGGAGAATAGAGGACAAGGGACTGTGGTGTGGCCATTGCCCCTGGGGGGGTGGTGATTTCTCACTTTTCCTCTGTTTCCTTCTATCTCTCCAATGAGTGCATGCACTCTACAACAGAAACCTTAAAGAAAACGAAAGATGTATCAAAAACAATTATGAAGACAGCCAATAGCATGGTGGTTATGGTGGGTGAATCCCACATGGCCAACTGCGAGGTCTGAGTCCTGGACCCAGCAGCTTGAAAAACATGTGTATGTACCCAAAATCCCAAAAGAAGAAATAGAGAAGGGCCTGCAGTGTGACCATACTCCACAGGAGGATGCTTTCTCACTTCCCCTCCCTCTTTGCCTCTCTCTCTCGAGAGTGCACGCCATGCTCTAGCAAATTAAAAAAAAAATTACACACACACACACACACGCACACAAAGAACACTAGATTTAAGACCAGGGCAGGTATAGAAAAGAATTAAGTAATGTTCTCAGGTCTCAAGTTGATGGGGCACACACACCATCAGTGTGAAAGGCAGGCTGGGAGCTGGCACTCTCTTCAAAGTGTCAATATTTTAATATCTTAACGATGTCCTGTATGCAGATCAAGAAGAAGCAAAAGAGAAAAAAGACTCTCAATACTTCAAACATTCAAACTGAGCAAATGGTATTTTGATGAAAACAAGGCCAAACTCAATTATCATTCTGCAACCCAACATGAAGACTGAAGATTTGCTAAGAGATGGTATATATTGTATATTACTTCAAAAGTAAACCAAGGTGGAACAGGTGTAAAGAAAAAATAATTAACAGGCACAAGAATGCATGTAAATAAGTGGAATAGACAATGGAACAATATTACCATGGCAGAGTAGAAAAATTGTCGATAACTCAATATATACTGCCAAAAAAACCTAGTACAACTATCATCAAATGTGCACAACATAATGTTCAATGTTGAAAATGAAAATGTCTGTATCTCTGATTTGATTATTACACAGTATGCATGCTCTGAAAAACCATACTGTACCCTATAAGGATGTACAACGACTATATGTAAACCAGAAATCATAACTAAAAACAAGAAAGTAAACTAGAGTTTTGTAAATTCAGACTAAATGCAGTGGGCCCCGATTGTAACTGAATATCAATAATGAATAAGGAGTAGAAAGTGACTGCTGCATTTCCTATTTTCCCTTCAATAAGGATATACAACACTGATTCAGAGAGAAAAACAAAAAAGTTAAAAACTGGTGATAGGGGCCGGCAGGTGGCATGGTGGTGAAGGCACTGGATTCCCACATGGCCAACCGTGGTTCAAGTCCTGGACCTGGTGGCTTGCTTTCTCGCTTTCTCTTTCTCTGTCTCTCTCTCTCTCTGGTCAAATTTAAAAAATAGTAATAATAAGTGGAATTAAATAGATAAATCTTAAAACGAAAAGAAAAACAAAAACTGATGAGAAAGCTAAAATGACTATGTAAAGACCTGGAAACGGATCAGGCCTCGTGCACCAGCACTGAGTCATGGTGGAGAAACGCCTGCTCTGAACCCCCCTCCCAGCCCAGTCACAAAACGATGCCTGACTGTAACTGAGCAAGATCTGGGAAGTCACAGACCTGGGTCCCAGAGAGACCGAAAAAGGTCAGAGACTGGGGAAGGCAAGCCAGGTGGGGATCAGGTGGGGATCCTGCTACCTCACACTGTATGGGGTACATTCAGGGTCACATCAGAGCCATCTAAATGCCACAGAGCCTTAACACTTCATGGTTCACACTGTGGTGAAGTCTGGCATTTGGCAAACACACAAAGAACCACTTCAGAGCTAAAATGTAAATCAAGTCTATTACACTACTGAAGTGTTAGGTCTAAAATCTGCTACAGTTCTTATTATCACCTGGACATGGCTGAAAATGAAGAGTCATAAATCAGACAGCTAGGAAAACTAATTTCCATGCTTGATCTGTTTTACATTCTCTTTGCCTTACTTTTTGGTGGACTTTGTTTCTTGGGATTTGGTGGCAGTCCCTTTTCACTCTTCCCGGATTCTGCAGAGAGAGAAGCCGTGGAGGCAAGTCCTCGAAACACTGGTGCTTCTAAGAATATAGTCTGAGAAAAGAATTGACAAATAGGGATATTTAGAGTAACATTACTTATAACACCTATTACTACATATGACTGCTGTGTAGCACTACCACATAAGATGGCATATTTATTTTCTTGAATTCGCTAGAGGGCGTGTGCACTTGATGGTGACAGATCATATCAGCAACCCCCACGGGGATAGTCATGCCGCAATCCCTTCTCCTTCATTTCTCCTTTCAGGATTCTGGGTCCCTAGGTCTGGGACTTTAACTGCACAGCTTCCTAATGTGTGCTTAAGCTGCTTTAAGTACTATGCTATAGGCTGGCCCACAACGGCATATTCCATACTCCACAGGAGGATGCTTTCTCACTTCCCCTCCCTCTTTGCCTCTCTCTCTCGAGAGTGCACGCCATGCTCTAGCAAATTAAAAAAAAAATTACACACACACACACACACGCACACAAAGAACACTAGATTTAAGACCAGGGCAGGTATAGAAAAGAATTAAGTAATGTTCTCAGGTCTCAAGTTGATGGGGCACACACACCATCAGTGTGAAAGGCAGGCTGGGAGCTGGCACTCTCTTCAAAGTGTCAATATTTTAATATCTTAACGATGTCCTGTATGCAGATCAAGAAGAAGCAAAAGAGAAAAAAGACTCTCAATACTTCAAACATTCAAACTGAGCAAATGGTATTTTGATGAAAACAAGGCCAAACTCAATTATCATTCTGCAACCCAACATGAAGACTGAAGATTTGCTAAGAGATGGTATATATTGTATATTACTTCAAAAGTAAACCAAGGTGGAACAGGTGTAAAGAAAAAATAATTAACAGGCACAAGAATGCATGTAAATAAGTGGAATAGACAATGGAACAATATTACCATGGCAGAGTAGAAAAATTGTCGATAACTCAATATATACTGCCAAAAAAACCTAGTACAACTATCATCAAATGTGCACAACATAATGTTCAATGTTGAAAATGAAAATGTCTGTATCTCTGATTTGATTATTACACAGTATGCATGCTCTGAAAAACCATACTGTACCCTATAAGGATGTACAACGACTATATGTAAACCAGAAATCATAACTAAAAACAAGAAAGTAAACTAGAGTTTTGTAAATTCAGACTAAATGCAGTGGGCCCCGATTGTAACTGAATATCAATAATGAATAAGGAGTAGAAAGTGACTGCTGCATTTCCTATTTTCCCTTCAATAAGGATATACAACACTGATTCAGAGAGAAAAACAAAAAAGTTAAAAACTGGTGATAGGGGCCGGCAGGTGGCATGGTGGTGAAGGCACTGGATTCCCACATGGCCAACCGTGGTTCAAGTCCTGGACCTGGTGGCTTGCTTTCTCGCTTTCTCTTTCTCTGTCTCTCTCTCTCTCTGGTCAAATTTAAAAAATAGTAATAATAAGTGGAATTAAATAGATAAATCTTAAAACGAAAAGAAAAACAAAAACTGATGAGAAAGCTAAAATGACTATGTAAAGACCTGGAAACGGATCAGGCCTCGTGCACCAGCACTGAGTCATGGTGGAGAAACGCCTGCTCTGAACCCCCCTCCCAGCCCAGTCACAAAACGATGCCTGACTGTAACTGAGCAAGATCTGGGAAGTCACAGACCTGGGTCCCAGAGAGACCGAAAAAGGTCAGAGACTGGGGAAGGCAAGCCAGGTGGGGATCAGGTGGGGATCCTGCTACCTCACACTGTATGGGGTACATTCAGGGTCACATCAGAGCCATCTAAATGCCACAGAGCCTTAACACTTCATGGTTCACACTGTGGTGAAGTCTGGCATTTGGCAAACACACAAAGAACCACTTCAGAGCTAAAATGTAAATCAAGTCTATTACACTACTGAAGTGTTAGGTCTAAAATCTGCTACAGTTCTTATTATCACCTGGACATGGCTGAAAATGAAGAGTCATAAATCAGACAGCTAGGAAAACTAATTTCCATGCTTGATCTGTTTTACATTCTCTTTGCCTTACTTTTTGGTGGACTTTGTTTCTTGGGATTTGGTGGCAGTCCCTTTTCACTCTTCCCGGATTCTGCAGAGAGAGAAGCCGTGGAGGCAAGTCCTCGAAACACTGGTGCTTCTAAGAATATAGTCTGAGAAAAGAATTGACAAATAGGGATATTTAGAGTAACATTACTTATAACACCTATTACTACATATGACTGCTGTGTAGCACTACCACATAAGATGGCATATTTATTTTCTTGAATTCGCTAGAGGGCGTGTGCACTTGATGGTGACAGATCATATCAGCAACCCCCACGGGGATAGTCATGCCGCAATCCCTTCTCCTTCATTTCTCCTTTCAGGATTCTGGGTCCCTAGGTCTGGGACTTTAACTGCACAGCTTCCTAATGTGTGCTTAAGCTGCTTTAAGTACTATGCTATAGGCTGGCCCACAACGGCATATTTCCAATAGTTATTACAAGTTTCATAATATGTATTATGGAAATTTTGGAAAATACAAAAAAGGCTACAAGAAGAAAACAACAGAGTTCAAGGACAATCACTACTACACTTTGATTAAAGTCAAACCAAACGTTCTTTTGAATACTTTCTTATAGTTTCCAAAGATCCTATTAACTTACAAAATACGATTTCTTTTTTTTGGGGGGGGGATAGGTTTTCACTATAGGGCGCATGGGCTCGCCAGACAGACAGAGAGAGACATCACCCCCAGGAGGGATGGTCACGCTGCAATCCCTTCTCCTCCATTCTCCTCTCGGGATCTTGGGCACGCACACACATGCGCCCGGCATGAGTTTTAAGCCACCGGATCTGGGACGCGAACCGCAGTCGACTATGTGGGAGTCCAGCAACATAGCCATTACGCTAACCGCTGGTTCCCGCAAAATACTATTTCTTTTTGTAAGCTGTTTTCCTGTACTTACAAAGTAAAGTGTAAGAAATATGATCTAGCCATTAAAACAGATACAGATAAATAACTGGTAAGCACCGTATTGTATTAAAAATGCAATATATAAAATAAAACTATGACACCAAAAAAACTGCTTCAGAAGCATGTAAAATATAAAGATATGCTGAATATTGTGTTAATTCACTCAACAAATATTACCTAAGGCCTAATGTTCTAGCTGCTAGAGGTTCCTACTACGAACACATATTAAAGTTAAGACGTGTGTTTATGACTGTAAGCATGTCTATGTATGCTTATATGCACATAAAAAAGCTGAAAATTTTGGGTCAAAACTAGATACAAGACTAAATATGACAATATTTCCCCTCTCATTTGTACTTTTTATTATTTTGCAGTGAATAGTTACTGCTATGCTAACAAGAGACTTTCCATTTTTTAAACAGTGAAGTGGCCTTAGCTTCTTACACTATTACAGAACAGAAGCAGGGCTCTATTCGCGGGTCAGGTAAGGTATGTAAGCTAGCTTCCTACATACTTAACTGCTGCCAGGCCCGCCAGGCCCCTAGAAGTCCCCTCATTTCCTCCCTCTTCTAAACACTGTCCGTATGACGCCATGCGGTAATCCCACACCTGCCCAGGTGCTCCGGGTCCAGCCAGAGGGCAAGGGGCCATTCTGCGGGGTCGGTGGGCAGCCGAGCGAGTAACTGGAGCCTGGCCCCTCGTCCTCCGCCCAGGGAGCGGAGTCAGAGTCCGACTAGAACGTCTGGAGGTCACCGAAGGGGCCCTCAGGCTCCTCCTTTATTTACCTTCAACGCCCCAGCTTGTCCTTGCCGCAGCAGAAGCGAGGCCGCCATGGCTGGGGCAGCGGAGGAGCCGGAGCGGTGGCGAAGGTCGCACCCGGCTGGAAAGCGCCACTGCGCGCGCACGCCAGCCTTAAGACCCGCCCCTCAAGCCTACTTCGCCAATCACAGAGACGAGGGTGAGGCTGGAAAGCGCCACTGCGCGCGCACGCCTGATTGAGGCTCCGCCCCTGGGGCGAGTTCGCCTCCACTGTCTCGGTGCAGGGCGCTGAGGCCGTGGAACCGCTCGTGCAGGGCCAGACATCTCACGGCTCTCTGCGCAGGAAAGAAGCCACCAATCACCGGCGGGTGTGAGTCAGGGCCCGCGCGCGGCAGGTGCAGACTTGGGAGGCGCTAGGTGCGCGTTTCTGCGCTGCAGAGGCTACCCTGTGCTCAGTGGAAATCCAAGGTGGTGATTAGGTGTTGTACCGCTCCTCGCAGTGGCTGCAGAAAGCAGTGTCCACGTCACCCTTTGCCTTTGTCTTCTCAGTCTAAATCTGAAGTCTACCCTAGGTGCACAGTCTCACATTTCATGCCCTTACGATTTCTGGTCCTACTTGATAATCCTCCATGATTTGTGGGTTGTACTCCTCAGCACTGTACCTCTGGATCCACACCGCCTACCCGGTCTGCCTCCATGGCTACAGTCTTAGATCAGACCCTCACCCTGTGTCACCGATGTGGCCGCCGCTGTTCACTGCCCATCCCCGTGCTTTTGGCCTATGGCGACACTAAAACTGAAGTTCGGCAAATAGAAAATGGAAGCCCTTGGGACCAGCAGTTGGTGTAATGGCCATGTTGCTGGACTCCCATGTAGCCGACTGCGGTTTGAGTTCCGGACCCGGTGGCTTAAACTCATGCCAGGCGTGTGTGCCTACGTACCCAAGATCCCCAGAGGAGAATGGAGGAGAAGGGATTGCAATGTGGCCATCCTCCCTGGGGGTGATTTTTCACTTTTTGTCTCTCTGTTTTTCTGGCGAGCGTTCGTGCCCTATAGCAAAAACCTCTCAAAATAAAAAGAAAAGAGGGAACCAGCAGTTAGCGTAATGGCTATGTGGCTGGACTCCCACGTAGTCGGCTGCGGTTCGAGTCCCGAACCCGGTGGCTTACGTGCCCAAGATCCTGAGAGGGGGATTGTGGCGTGACCATCCCCCCTGGGGGGGGGTGATTTCTCGCTTTCTGTCTCTATGTCTCTGTCTGTCTGGCGAGCGCACACGCCCTATAGCGAAAAACCTCTCAAAAAAAAAAAAAAATAGAAGCCTTATTTTACCTGAATGTTTAGAACTTTCAGTACAAAGCTGTAGCTATCAACTTCCTTTCCTTCCTATTGATTGAAGCTCCCCTGCCCCTCACCTTGCTCTGGTGCCCAGTGCCTCAAAGTATTTCATGGAAGATGAACGTGACCACAGCTCCATCTTCTGCTGTCCAAGGGGACATTCCAGAGTTTAAGTTGATCAAGGGATCTCTGACTGACAGCTGGAAATTCATTCATATGGCAAGATAAACTGACAGAAGCAGGTGTTCTCCATCCTCTTATTAAAGAAAATTCAAGACTCAGGTGACTTGGGGCCGGCAGGTGGCATGGTGCTTAATAAGGTTGTTGGACTCTCACATGGCCGACTGTGGTTCGAGTTCTGGACCTGGCGGCTTGCTCTCTTTCTCTCTCTCTTGCTCTCTCTCTCTTTGGTCAAATTTTTAAAAATAAATAAATAAAGTTAAATAAAATAATTCTTAAAAAGAAAAAAAAGGATCAAGCGAGCGCAATGGTACTTGCCACCATCCACTCTAGAAGGTAAGGAGAACAACTTTAGGTCTTAGAGTAATGATGTGGTTTGGGTCATGGTTTGTCTCCCAAAGGTTCATGTGTCAGAATTTGTTGCTAGGAAGTGGTGAGTCGTAATCGTATCATGATGATTGCATCATGGAAGCAATAAATCTCTTGGATAGATTAATGATGTCTCGAGAGACCCAGTGACTTCTAGCTTTCATGAGGAGGTAGGTGTCTGGAGAGCTGGTTGTTGTAAGAGAGA